GCCAGCTAGGATTGATGAAAAAACATAAAACCCGCTCGCCACTGACTTCTGACCTCAGTGATAATGACTGGAAGTACGCATGTATTGTACCGGAGAAGAAAAATGGGAGGAAATTTCCGACCAACCAAGTGAATGCCCACACTTGCTCATCCATCTGAAGCCGTCTTTTTCAGACCTCTTGATACTTTCATATTAGTGACGTCAAACTCGTACCAAGCACGTCGTCTCAATATAGGGACCTATGAAGGGGAATTCATGTTCAATTTGATGTATTTGATAGGTGTAGTACTGGCTATCGGCTTGAATATCAAGTGAGTTCCTCAAACCAAATACAACGCTCAACGAACTATAAGCGATTCATCTGCAATTGAAAACTACAGTCTACGTTGATTGTATGGGCGTGGTCAGCCAACCATTCTTGCCAAATACCCTCCCCTCTCACTTTCAACAATTAAGTCACCGCAGGTAAAAGTTTGGATGAACAAGCCATAATCTCTACAACTGGTTATTTGCACGAAAAAACTATATTTTTATCTTCAAATATACTTTTTTAAAAATCCGCACAATGGGTTTACTCCACTTACACGTTAGTAAGCGCACATTCGTCATAAGGCGCAGTCAGGTCTTTTTACGCCTTCTTCCTTGGGCGCGGGACTTTTACTGACGCTCCGTGAACGGGAGGAAACACGCAATGAGAACAGAAAAACTTAGCACCCACCCTCATGGTCCGACGTGGAAGTGTCACTAAACACCAAGTACATGGTATACCTGCAGTAATTACTAGCAATACTAAGAAAAGCAGAGATGAAAAAAAAATTGACAGCTCTTGGCTTAATGACTAATGGCCATGAAAATCAGCTGCACTTGCCGTTGTGCGGACGAAAAAGATACGCAGGCAGAGGCTGCGAAATACGACAGTCCGGAAATCATCTCTGATAGGCACATCCTTTACCCATGTCCTTATATCTTACGATCTTTGGAACTCTCCCGACTCATCACCGCCTGGTTCCGGAAACTTTCTTTGAAATATTCCAGTTTTTTATCGAAAAAAAAGCGCCGCCATCAAGCGGGCGAGGAAAACACGAGAAAACGCAACAGTCCTAATGCCGTCCCTCCACCAACCAACAAACAACACCTCGCTGGAGATCCCTGATATAGCTAAACAACCAATTCAGGTACGGGCGCCGTTTTACCCTCGCTCTCACGATATCCATCTCGATTATCAGCCTGGCCATTATGATGAGCGTCACGCTAGAGAAGTATAATGCTTGTTGGAATGTGAGCACTCCCTACGGTAATGTCTTAGGGAAGTTTTTGGTCAGCGCTCTACCAGGGTTCTCTAGGATAAGTTTTTGAGGTTTTCGATCGAGTTTGGCTACGCTGGCCCATGCATGCGGTGTAATGTGTTCGATCATCATAAAGATTACAGCGCGCCTGGTGAGTCCCGTTTTTACCGTATTTGAAAAAGTAATCTTCGTTCACCATAAGGGCGGTGCCATTCAGTTACTGTTCGGTGCGCCCATTGTTAGAATATATTCAACGGCAATGGCGCGCCAATGAGAGCAGCACATTGGTAGGGTGTAACCACCCACTCGACTAATATGGAAGGTGTCCTCAAGGGCAGTTGGCACGATGGTTTCCTACTCGGCCTAAAATGCTATATAGTGGGGGAAATGGCGAAAGAACGGAGTGAAACGGTCAAAATCCTGCGAAGAAAGAGCCTCCGTTCTCATGTGTTAGTAATCAATTTTGGACGAGTTTCCCGTAGGCATCTTGCCAATAACCGCTACCGAAGGTACGGCTGCATATGTGTACCCATATATGCATGTAACTCATATATCATGTCGATGCAACGGCTCCCTCGATAGGAATCGCCTTTCGCGTCATAATCGTGCTTAGCAATGAAGTCAGTTGAGGCGTGGCAGGAGAGTGGTGGCGTGGCGCCTAGGTTCGGCGGCAGGGTGTGGGTCGTTCTCACATGTTTGCTTGGATGGGGGGGTGAGGTGAGGGCACGCGATTCTTTCGGAAAAGGCATTAATGCCGGGGCTCTGCTGGGGGGGGTGGGGCGGGAATTTCGGTCCTGGCTTGAGTGCGTATGATATATTCTATCGCGTGCTTGAATTCATCGTGCAACTTGGCTTTTAAGTTTTTTCTCATTCAAGTCATTACAGTCACGTCTTTCCATTTCAGGTGTCTTTGAACATGTGCCAACATCTGTTCGTTCTCTTATACCCGTCGCATTTCTCTATTCTGATGTCATGATGTTAACGTGCAGCAGTTTAGTAGCGGTTACAGAGGTATGTTGTAAAGTAAGGCCTATTTGGGGCCCACTAGTCCCCAGAATATCTGCTCAAAATAGTTCAGCGGCTAGAGAAGCCGCTGCCAAGCGTTGTTTTCTCTGATCAAATCTTCACGAGGCCAATGAGACGTCGGGTCTTTCTAGAGAGTTCTGAGTTGGATCATTCATGCCAAATGTTGACTCAAGCCTTGGCAAGCCAGATCCCTGAAGCTGAAATTCTCGTAATAATGATGATCAGTGCCTTTGGAGCTGCGCCATGCTCCCTAGTTCCATCCAGGATTGTAGCCCACATTTTGAAAGCGGAGGCAGCTTATCAGCAAGCAGTCTTCATTAACTCTACCTCATCATTTTCTCGATCTCTCAACCATCATTGAGACCCAATCGTTTGAATCCATCTCTTCGCTGCGCTACTTACCATCTTACCTATTTTGTGCACCACCTCAATCAACCCTACTTTAGGACCATTCCAGGCCCTAGGTAAGGTTGACCGAGAACTTTCAACCTTATGCTTCAATCCCTCGGACAACTTTTAGCTTTCAGGGTCTATCCAACGACTACCCTAATGGGTCGCAGATCTACTCATTGGCCTATACCCTGTTTGTGGCACCTTTTGCACTTCTTCTAGACGATTCCACCTACATGGTGACCAACTCCGCCGAAATTCCAGCTTACACGTGAGTGCGCACTCGATGAGCACTTATTCATACACTGCATCACTTGTGGCGCTTATGAGCCCTATCGAAAAAGTTATCTCCTACCCAGCTTCTTTCAAAGGCGCAGTCCACGCAGATCGTTTGGGCAGAGACAGTCACCCACTGAGCCCTCTTCGCCAGTGCACCCCTCGTTTTACTGTCTGACGGAAGTGGCTGACCGCTGACGAGCTTCCAAACGGTCAGCTGTCTTCACCCATACGATCAGCGTAGACAGTGCATTCAGGGCCGGCATCAATAGTGGAGGGCTGAGTTTTCTACTGGTTAAACATTTTCTCAACCCATTTCGCAACAATGTCCGTGCTGAGGGTAGAGAGCCTTTCCGATGCGAATAGGTTTGGAGGGGGCATGTGAATGACTTTTCACGCAGATTGAGATTATTGCAATGACTTAACGACTGTAGCCCAAGCCCAAAAGGTGAAGGAACTCCGGCATCGGTGAACTATTCCTAACTACGGCTGTTCTATTCGGATGATGTTTATTTCGGTTTTGAATGAAGAGCCCTTTGAACGCCCCTCCCAGGTTATGAGCGCAGCAAATTCCCGATAATGTCCCTCAAGGAGGTAGCGCCAGCAAAATTGCTGCTTTTAACTCTGGTGCTCTTTAACTGGTGAAAAATTGAATTCTGAACTGATTGACACTAAACTTTTGTGCCTTATTATTCCAGAGTGCCTCCTCGTCCATTCCCGACTAATCTCGATCAAGCCGACATCGCATCAGAGCACTTCTCCACTCGAATGATGCTGGAAGCATGTGCTGCCGCCGAGGAGGCTAAAAAACAAGCACAATCGGGATCTGCCGAAAAAGCCTAGAAACTATGAGATCTCTGTATTTATGTCCTTATAGCGTTAACACTACTGGAAATCTCTCATTTTAATTCTTAATAATCGCTATTTTTAATAAATATTTGGACTGGGAATGTACATAAGCATCTCCAAATGACACATTTTTGTCACAAAAACTCACTCTATTAATGTCAATAGCAATAAGAACAACGGTGAAGGGCCCACATTTCACCCTCGTCAGAAGCCTGGCACCATGATGAAACTTACGAAAATATTATTCATTCCTCCCATTACTGCTCTATCCTTGAACAGTTGTATAGCCATGAGTCTGCAGACGATTGAGCGTGGAGGGGGATGTGAGTCAAATCGCAGCCTTACGCCAGCCATTCTTACCTCCACCCTCTCCCCTCTCCCCTCCACACTGCTGCGGACGCAGGATTACGACATTGAAGGGAAGGCCTCCTTGGCAGCGCTCCATTCCACGCTCCACAGTATGCCCTATCGTTTGCAAAATCGCGACTGTGCACAAACCACTACTTCCTTTTTGTATTTTGAAAG